GATAAGAAAGAAAAGAAAGAAAAAAAGAAAAGAAAAGAAATAAATAAAGAAAAAAAAATCGAAAGAAAGAAAATGAAAAAAGGAAGAATGAATGAATGAAAAGAGGTCAAAAAGAAAGAATGAAAAGATGGTTGCGAAATTAAAGTAGATGGACATGATAAAAAAAAAAAAAAGAAAAAAAATAGAAATAAAAATATTTAGAAAGAAAGAAATGAAAGAAAGAAAGAAAAAAAAGAAGAATGAAAATTAAATGAAAAAAAAAGAGGTCAAAAAAGAAAGAATGAAAAGATGGTTGAAAAACAAATATTTAAAAAGAAATTAAATAAAGACATGAAAGAAAGAAAAGAAAAAAAAAAAAATTAAAAGAAAGAAAGAAATAAATAAAAAAAAAAAGAAAGAAAGAAAAAAAGGAAGAATGAATGAATGAAAAAAAGGTCAAAAGAAATGAAAGATGAAAAGATGGTTGGAAGAAAAGAAAAAAGAAAGTAAGAAATAAATAAAGAAAGAAAATGAAAGAAAGAAAAAAAGGAAATGAAATAATGAAAAAGAGGTCAAAAGAAAGAAAAAAGAAAATTTAAAAGAAAGAAAAAAAGGAAAAAAAAAAAGAAAAAAGAAAAAAAGAATAGTGCAAAAAAAGAAAGAAAGAAAGAAAAAAGGAAGAATGAATGAATGAATGAAAAATAAGAAAAAAGATGGTTGCGAAAGAAATGAAAGAAAAAGAAAAAAATAAATAAAAGAAAGAAAAAAGAAAGAAATAAAGAAAAAAATAAAGAAAGAAAGAAAAAAGGAAGAATGAATGAATGAAAAGAGGTCAAAAAGAAAGAATGAAAAAGATGGTTGAAAGAGAGGAACATGATAAGAAAGAAAGAAAAAAAAGAAAAAAAAGAAAAGAAAGAAAGAAAACAAAAAATTGAAGAAAAAAGAAAAAAAAGGAAGAATGAATGAAAAAAAAAGGTCAAAAAAAAAAGAATGAAAAGATGGTTGCGAAGAGAGGATGGACATGATAAGAAAGAAAGAAAAAGAAAAAAAAAGAAAGAAAGAAAGAAAGAAAGAAAGAAAATGAAAAAGAGAAAAAGAAAGAAAAAAGGAAAGAGAATGAATGAATGAAAAGAAAAAAAAAAAAAGAAAGAAAAGAAAAATGGTTGAAGAGAGGATGGACAATGATAAGAAAAAAAAGAATGAAAGAAAGAAAGAAAGGATTATAAAGAAAAAAAAAAAGAAAGAAAGAAAGGAAAAAAGAAAAAAAAAAAAAAAAAAAGCATGCAATAGAAAGAAAAAATTGAATAAAAAAAAACGAAAAAAAAACGAAAGAAAGAAAGAACGAAAGAAGAAATTGTTTCAAAAGGTTCCAAATGATATAAATACTTTTTAAATTATTTGGAATCAGACAATATAAAAACATTTGTTGTGAAATGACTAATAATTCATTTTTACGTTTAAAAAACATTTTTATGATAAAAGAAAAAAAAAAAAAAATTGAAATAATATTATCAGCAGTTTTCTTCTTCTATGTCCAATGTCCCTTCAGGACGTGGGTGATCATGGCTCTCTAAAATTTTCTTTCCTTTTGTGTTCTTACAAATTTTATCTCTCTAATCCCTGTTCTACCTACTATTTACACATTTAGGTAGGTTACGGTTAGCTTTCCTCTGTCACTCTTTCTTTCAATTTGTCCTTTGAGTGTCAAATTCTCCAAGTCCTCTTCCCTCATTATGTGCTCTAGAAATTTCAACTGTCTCCTCCTCACCTTAATTATAAGTGTCATTTTCTTCCATTTTCTCTAAAAGTTTTGGCGTTACTCACATGTTCAGTCTACGGTACACACAGAAGTAATAGATTTTATCATCTACAAAGTATATATCTAAAAAAATACGTTTACCATGACAGTATGTAACTATGTACAATATGGCAATTTTCCGAGCGAAGCTTAGATGTGGCAAAAGGCTGAAAGAATGAGGCACCCAGTGAGAATCGAACTCACTACGCAGTCGTAATTTGTCTAGCGAGACAAGCTTACTAACCCTTACGCCACGTCGAAGTGATCAAAGGATTTTCAAAGCGTAGCTTAGATGTGGCACAAGGCCGAAAGTAGGAGGCACCCAGTGAGGATCGAACTCCCTACTCAGTCGTAATTAATCTAGCGAGACAAGATTGTTAACCCTTAACACCGCCTCGAGGTCCCCAACTATGTACAATATATACATACACAAGAAGGCCTTAAATTGCGATAAAAAATATTTAGATTTCGGCATTAAATAACAGGGATTGATATGCCACTAAACAAATTCAACTAAACCTAAAGAACAATTTGGTTTACATTCCCAGTCTATGTATAAGTTGTTTGATAGTAGACTAAATCACGTAGATGAGTCTAGATAAATTGTTCGGGACAAGCCAATGTAGGCTCTTGGCTAAATTCTTGTTGCATCTGACTAGAGAAGTGACAGAAACAATTATAGTTCATAGTGCATGTTCTAAAACTATTTAATGAGATTAAAAAAAAACACAGTGACAAGATCTTTCACAATGTCAGCCATCGTTTGCGGCGCGAAACTGCCTGTCAACACGCAATTTTTAACTTGAATATCAACGCTCATTGAACACACACATACATGTGTGTATGTGGTGTGTGTGATGTCTGCTCGTTTCTGAGTGTTTAGACTAGTGTAGTTTACAAGTCCCTGTTGCAGAGGACCTATCAGTAGTTGAACAACCTCTGTACTTGCAAGGAATCGATCACGATGAATTGTGAATTCGCGTTTGCACAGTAATCATCGTCTTCTGGAGAGTCTAATCTACCCAAATTCAGCCTGAAGACTTACATCATACGTGGTATGGTTTTCAGACATTTCCTAATAATAGACACGCTTGGCTCATCACTCAAGAATAAAGTAATCACTGTTCTAATAAATCTATCCCGAAGAAATTTGAACCCATTTATCAAGGTGGTTTACACACAAGTACGCACGCGCGCACACACACACACAAAGAGGAACACACGCATAAACACACGCCCAGATACACATTTATCCCGATAAATTTATCACACTGTCGACATGAAAAGTAAAAACACAATTTTAGGCAAAAAAAGAAAAAAATGTTATGTCACAAAAAGAGGCTTACATACGTGCGTCTTTTTAAATGTTTTTGAATTTCATGTAACTACAGATTTCAATTATCATCAATTGTCTTCATAAAGTCAAATGACGAAACGCGTCGGACCCCCATTATTTACGATTGTCTATTTTATTCAATTCGTCTTCTCTATAGATTTATTCTGGGAAAGATCGTCAAACACTCAATTATTGAAACACACACAAATATATATATATATATATATATATATAATTATAAATATATATATCCACACACACACATATATATATAGATAGATATAGATATATGTGTGTGTGTGTGTGTGTGTGTGTGTGTGTGTTTATTCTTGCAGCATGCAATGAAAGCTTTTTCTTTTCTTTTTTGACCTGGTTGGCCGCCCCCTTTTGTATAATTTAAGTGCCTTCGATTGTCTAGATTCAGATAGTGTAGGATTGTGTAGAGATGATGGCTTATTAGTTGTTAAAAACTCCACTAAAATTAAGGTAGACCGTATTAGGAAAATGATCCATAGGGTATTTAAGGATTTAGGTCTTAGGACAATAGTTACAACTAATGTTAGACAAGTGGATTTTCTAGACGTCACCCTAGACCTTATTAACAACACTTTCCTACCATATTTGAAGGTTAATTCCAACCCAATATACGTGCATCCAAATTCCAACCACCCCAATTCAGTTATCAAACACATACCATCTTCCATTGGATTTAGAATTAGCGCTAACTCTTCTAACAAAGATGTTTTAATAAACATCGTGATTTTTACAATTCCACACTCAAAAATAGTGGATACAAAAATACCACTATTCAATATAAAAAACCCTGTTAATTGCAACCATAATAAGAAAAGAAGATAGAAAGATTATTTGTCTCACTCTCCTTTCAATATAATGGTTAAAACTAATTAGAAGTATATTTCTAAACCTCATCAAGAAACATTTCAAAAACCCCGAAACTAATCCACTTAGTAAAATATTTAATCCTAATACCCTTTAAATTAGGGCTATAGTTGTGCTGATAACCTGGAGAAGATAATTAAAAACATAACAACATACTTTTAACAAGTATAAGGATTCAAAAAGGCTTGACTACTCAACAGGTTACCAACTGCAATACTAAAATATAATAACACAAATAACAACTTATGTAATTGTAGGAACTGAATAATTGTCCAATACAAAAAAACTGTGGGATTACTTCTGTAGTCTATCTTAGTACTATTTCAACAATTGAAAATCCAAATATAAAGAAGTTTTACATTGGTAGCACCATGAAAACATTCAAGAACGCTGGCGGGGGGCATATGCAATCCTTTAATCACATTGAATATAGGTACATGACTTCATTATCCAAGTATTTTTGGAATCTAAAAGATAAGAACAAAACACCTACGGTTAAATGGAGTTTGGTTAAGAAAGATCGGGCATGTAACTCCCTATATGCCCCATGCTACCTATGCCTTAAAGAAAAATTTGAAATTATTAGATTTAAAAACAAGGCTGATCTCTTAAATCAAAGATATGAACTTACAGTTAATTGTAAACACCGTTATAAATTTAACTTAGTATAGGGGTCGTATACTTTAAATGATAATGATATGTCGCTGTAATTTTAATAGATTAGTATTTTTTATTGATTGCATGATGGTCATACTGACGATATAAATGTGTATTGTTTACCTGCATAGTGTTATTCGTGTTGGTGTATATGTGTATATTTATTTATGTGTGTGTGGTTGTATGTGTTTTGCACTGAGGAATGTGTAGGTTTGAATATAAGTGTATTTATATTTTTTTTTTTTATATATATATATATATATATATATATATATATATATGTATGTGTGTGTATATGTATATATATGTGTGTGTGTATATATATATATA